GTTTTCCCTTCTGTTTTCCTTAGATTCCTACAGGCAAGAACCCCACGTGAATACCATCTATCTCTTCCGGAGTCAGGCATGACCCCTCCCCACCAGAGCCTAGCATTCATCCGCAGTAACAGCTACATTCGCTTGGACTCTTTCAACCAGAACTTGGCTGTCTTGCACTCAAGTCTTTGGCCCCTCATCAGTGCAACCATCAAATGGCCCACACTCTGAACACCCTGAAGATTTGACCCCAGAAGAAATGTCCTGCTTTCCAGTCCCTCGCCTTCCCCACTGCAGGCAGAGAAGAGCAGGCCCTGGGAAAAGGAGCCTTTTATTCTTTTCCATACCCCGACAGCTTTAGAAATCCAAGGGCAGTTTCAGGGATGGGTTTGGGAAGCAAGGACTAGAAGAAGCCAAATGTCCTTGCCAGGAGAGCAGGAAAGAAAAAACCACAAACACACACCATTGTTTTCCACTTAGGAGGAGGACCCTGCAGAAGTAGTTGACCCCCGGAGCAGGGGAACCGAGAGGGTAGAAGCCTGCTGGAGACTCCCAGATGGCCTTGGGAAGACTCTGGCTTACAGGCTTACAGCCAGCGCCAGCGTGAAGGTGGAGCTTAGAGCCCTGTCTTCTGGGATCCCAGACCAGAGAGGCCCTGTAGCTACAGGGGGAAGGAGTCTTCTAAATCACTGAAAGTTTATTTCAAACTTCATGCCTCCCACCCCTTTTGCAAGCAGAAGCAAGGCAAATGTAAATTGCATGTGACAAGCAGACAAAGGGAACAGGGTTATAGTTTGACTCAGATGATGAGCTGGGACAGAAACATCCCCCTCCTCACGGGGACGTCATCAGGGCCTGTAGCACAGTATCACATGGGCCACTCTGAACCTCTGGAACCCACAGAGTAGGACTGAGCTGCGGAAAGCCACACGCCTCTCCCAGTGGGTGATGTGGCTAGGGTGACTAGCATCTGCCGTGGGACAATGCTCTTGTACACTGTAGAAATTTGTCACTCATATTGGTTTAATAACACTCTAATCAGACAGTTGTGGAGGCCCAAAAATATGAGCCTTTTTCCACCTTGTCTGAAGATCAGAGAGTTTTAACTTGTTCAAAGTTGTTGACAACAACAAGCGTGACTACACACCCTGACCTAGGGTGTGGTTACTTGGTGTTTTGGACGTTGAGATGGCCAATACAAGTAGATCCACTCCACCCTGACCAATAGTCAGGAAATTCAAGAGTACTTCTGCTCCTTCTTTTGAAATAGGAGGCTTGACCTTGGGAGTGGCTGCCTTCAGGATACTTGGTCTAGGGTGGGTTCACTGCCTCAACAACAGAAAGCTAATGACTTGATGTCTCAAAGTACTGAAGCAAGTAACTGAGTTGCCCTTTGTAACTGTTAAAACAGTCTTTTGTCTTCTTTCCCCTGTGGTACTGAGATGTAAAAGTGTATGGGAAATTCACTGGAAATCCCACTACTGTCCTATGTTTTCTGTTTTATTATTTTCACTCATGTCTTCATCCTCTTTACTACCTTTCTGATCACCACGCCCCATTACCAATATCTGATAAGTGGTTCTTTTGCTGAAGCTGGTCTCCTACTGCCAGGAGCCAAGCAGGAAGTAGAGGTAGGATGACCAGAATAAGAATTCTGGGAAGAGGAAAGACAGACGCAGTCACCAGCCGGATACAGAGGAAGTAAGATGAGAATGCCTTCCTGAAAAAAAGGTACCAAGCCACATGGCTAAACATAGACAAGAATTACGGATTGATTTAAGTTGTAAGAGCTAGTTAATAATAAGCCTAAGCTCAAAGGCCAAACAGTTTATAATTAATATAAGCTCTGTGTGTTTCTCTGGGACTGAACGACTGTGAGATCAGGTGGTACAGAAACTTCCATCTACGCGCATCCAACACAGAGTTTTCTCTCTCAGCAAACTCCAGCTTCACAGACACTGCCACAGGCCCATTCGTCCCATCTCCCTGATCAAAAAAGGAAATCTAGTCTTTATGGCTTCACCAAAATTTTATACATTTTATACATGGATAGTCAAATTCAGAATGTAGTAGAGATGCTTAACTCCATTTCTCTCCCACCCTCTATTATTAATATTGATACTATCATCATCATCATTATTTAGAAACAGTGTTTCTAAGTGTTCTGCATGTCATACCTCCAGTGGTGTGCTTTCACAGCAGTGAGCTCTATGGTACTGGCTTCACACGGGTGTAACACAGACTCAGTTCCCCAAACAGCCTGTTTTTCCTCTTCCCTGAGTCTAATAAGAAAGCTGCGGCTTACTTTTATTTCACAGACAAAAAGAGACGAGCACAGAGAAGTTCTGGGAAATACCCAAGGCATCATGGGAGCTAGAGCTGAAACCCTTCTCAAGAGTGAAAGGGAAAGACAAGGGAACAGGAAAATATGGCTTTCTATTTGCATAGCAGCCACCGACCTCGGGCACATTTGTATGAGGTTTTCAGTCTGGTATTGCCAGGACAAGAGATGTGAAACATTTTTACATTATACGGCTAGCTTTGTGACTTAAATCATGAACTCCGTGTCAGGCATCCTTGACTCAAGGGGGGCAAAACTTTCCACTGACCTGCTTTTGTGACCTTGGGTGAAGTCACGCCCCACCCTGTAACTCAGTTCCTTCTTGCAGAAAGTGAAGTACACTAAAACACCCTCATCTTGTGGTTATTGCGATCTGTGTCAGGAGGTGTGTGCAGCATGTTGGCTTAGCAGCTGTTTCTGCTTGCCGCAGAGCAAGCCCAGGTGCCAGAGCTCTCACAGCTGGCCAGGCACCTCACCCGGCAGATGTTTGCAGCTTTTGAATGTCCGCGTTGGAGGCTCCTTGGTGTGGTCTCATCTAAAAGCAAGCTTAGCCAGACCAGGACCTTTCTGATTTTTCTTTGGAAGTAAACTGATTTCATACTTGGGCAATTGTGCCCTCTTGTGGCAAATCCTAGGCATAGTGTGCTAGCCCTAAAGAAAATACCAGTGCAAGTGCAGTCTGGACTAAGGAAAGCCTCAGGACTCTGTTCTGGAGATCCCAGTTGGAGGGGCTCACAAGGCCACTCCCCTCCCTGAGGCGCTACAAGCAGCTAGCAGTTGCTAAGGAGGTGGGGCTCAGTAGGCCTCTCGGGAGCGTCCCTAAAGATCTAAAGCAATAAATGGTTGCTGGGAGGCAGGAAAGATGTGGTATCCAATAATGTAGCCACTGTTGAGGTGCCCCCACTCCTGTAAATAAACTCACATGTGTGTTCCTATTAGAAACCCCAGTGAAACTCACTGGGTCACCGTATCACCAGAAAAGGACATGAAAGTAGATCAGGCACAAAGTTGGGAAGAAAGGGATCAGCAAGATAGGAGAGGGACACGATAATGGAAGATGAAAATAATTTCACAGTTTACGCAAGTTTGAAAATGTCATCATGAAACCTGTTATAACGTTGAATGCATAATTAATATAGGACAATAATTTTTAAAGGAGGCTACGGTTTACAAGTCTCTCTTTTCGAAGGGGCTCCAAAATTAATGGCGCATCTTACCTTTCCGTGAGGACCACTCGAATGAAAAGTCAGCCGGATAGCAGAGATTTCTAAAGGGCTAGAAAAAGTAGAGCGGTTGATAGATTGCTGGCCCCGTGTGTGTGGAGCCCTCTGTCTGATCCCCCAGCACCACAGAAAACCGGCTGTGGTGGCTTACACCGCAATCCCAGTAGAGGGGAAGTGGAGGCAAGGGAACCAGAAGCCCAAGGTCACCCTTGGCTCTTCAGCCAGTTCTTTAGTGAGGTCAAGAGACCTAGTCTCAAAAGAGCAAACCAAAATCAAAACCGAAAACCACATTTACTAAGTGACTATTTAATTGTGGTTGCCTCAGCTTCCTTTCCTGTAAATATCGTTTCATGCCGTGTGCTAAGAGCCAAGTGTCGGAGGCTGCCATCAGCCTGACTGTTTCTCCTGGGAGATTTTACTCATTCAGCACCCTGCTTCCTTGTAACTTATTCTCATCCATCAAAGCTATCTTGAAAGGTCAGCTCCCTCCCCATCTCTAGACTGGATTCAGCCTTCACTGACCGGCATTTTGTATTTTCTCTGCAAATCCATGCATGCCCTGGGCAATGTTGTCCTAGCAACATACAGGGGACTTGTGTGAGCCCCCCTTTGCACAGTTGGTCCATGGACACTATTTGTGGAGCCATGGCATGGCCCACAGCAGGTGTTTCAAAGCGCATATTACACCCCAAATTACTCAGCATCCCCTTCCTTTGCAGATCCCTGGGGACCATCTGCAGTACAATCAATACTCCCTTCCCACAGGTCCAGTCACAACTTTTGTTCACTGACCGTGTGCAGATACCCACCCGCCAAACCCTGGGGCCAGTTTCTGCATAGACTTGATCTTTTGCCTGTTCTGGCCTCCGAGTCCCTGTCTACCTGTCTACCCGAGTCCAGGTAAATCTTCAAATGCCTGTCCTGGGTCATGAGTGGTAGTGGCAGATGGATCTTCATCTCCCCAGTACTGTGGCTTAATTGACAGGATTCTTTCTCCCCCCCCCAAAATCCAAGGTTCAGAATGAACCTTGGGGTCAGGCAGGTCCCAGATGAATTACTGTCCTTTGGATTTCCAGTGTGATGGTTAACTCCACTGTCAACTTGATTGGATTTAGGAACACGTAGGGAGCTGGGGAGTGGGTCTCCAAGGATACGTTGAAAGAGACGAAATATGAGGGACGAACTGCCCAGTGTGTGGGCAGTGCCATCCCATGGACTAGGGGGTCCTGAGGTGAATAAAAGGGAAAAGTAAGCACCCCACTCTCAGCTCTCTACTTCCTGCTCTGATGTGGGAGTGTCATATATCAATCTGTTGATTTCATTGGTTAAGTTATAATAAACCAGCTGCTTGGCCTCATGGCTTGGAACATAGATGGGAGGAGTAAACAGAATAGAATTCTGGGCGGAAGAGGAAGTGAGGTCAGACTCTGCTCTGCTCCCGGAGAGAACCGACAGCTCTGCTGGAGCAGAGACGCCATGCTCAGCTCTCCCAGGCAGCTGCAACCCACGATGGACTTAGGCTAGAATCTTCCCTGTAAGCGCACCTTGGGGTGCTTACACACATCATTAGAAATGGGCTAGTCCAGGTGCGAGAATTAGCCTGTAAGGGCTAGAGTTCATGGGCCAAGCAGTTCTTTAAATGAATACAGTTTGTGTGTTGTAATTTCGGGCATGAGCTAGCCAAGCGGCCGGGGTGTTGGGGACGCAGCCCCGCCGCAGCTTCCTATTTCAACACTGCTCTGTCTTGAAGGTGAGCAGTCTAGTGCTAATAGCACCCCTGTGGAGAGCCACTCCTGCCCTCACGCCTTCCTTGACGGACTTAATCCTTCTGACCATGAACCCCAATCGGTCCTTCCTCCCTTTTGTTTCTTGTTTGCTTAATACTCAGTGACCATTGGGGTCTTCAGCTCTCTTCTTGGCTTCTGAACACCTATGACGATGTCCCAGGCTGCAGAGCCGGCTCTCCGCCCTGGCCCACGGACAGGCACACTCTGTCCAGCTGACTGAGGGTGGAGTGTTGACTCGGTTTATTTGACAAATTGATCCCTTCCCTTCCTGTGGGCTGGGCATGGTTGGGAAGGATGGACAGATTTAACATTTTGTTATCAGTCCTGTCTAAAAAGGATACTGAGCCCCAAAGGAGTCAGGCCACTGTGACTCATGAAGCACCTACCCTCCATGCCTGGGTCAGGACACATCAATCGCCAGAGCTGTCACCTTTGCAAACATTCCCACTGATGATGGCCCTAGAGCTCTCTATGGCCACAGTGCTGGAACACATAGCTCCAGAGCCACCGCTCCCCCACCCTCTTAACACATTTGATTCCCAGGCAAGCGCATCCCTTCTGCAGCCCAGAGATAATGTCTTCTTATCGATGTGGTATCCAAGGCAAGCCTGTTTGTTTCTCTGTACACGTTCTCTTTGTATAAATACGAAGTTCCATGGACTCTGTGTGTGAGGAAATCGCTAGGGTCTTGGAGAACTGATGGGCAGACTCAACAAATCCTTTGGAGACTATAGCCCTGGATGGAAGAAAAGGCCCCTTTCAGCCTGTTCCCTCTCTCAACCACAGTACCCAGCAGAATGCCATAGGAAGAGAGGTGAAGTAAGAAACACCCACAGTAGAGAAGTACAGAAAGGAATAGCAATGGAACCTGTATTCATTTACATAAAGAGAAGTTCACCTGTGCAGATTGAACGACGCTCAAACCCACATCCCCCAGGTACAGCAAATGTGACCACATTATTACAGACTCGGTAAGTTTATGCAAGTTCCCACTAGAAAGGCCCCTTGCCCAGTGACTGGTGTCTTTATCAGAAGGGAGAAATTTGGGCCCAGACACCTGGAAAAAGTGTCAGGAGAAGATGGAGGCAGAGATTGGAGCCAGGCATCTGGGAGCCAGGGTGCCCTGGGGAGTGCCAGCAGCCACCAAATCCAGAGAAGAGGCTTGCAGCAGATTCCTTTTCCTGCCTCTAGGGCAAGCTAGCTCTTCCCAAGGCTGGCTTTCAGGCTCCGGCTCCCAGACCTTTATCAGCTGTCTTAAGTCACCTGTTTGTGGCAACTTTTCACAGCACCCCTAGAGCATCCCTCATGCCATGTGAACAGCAAACTGGAAAGTGTGTTCTTGTGTAAGATTTTCTACAAACAGATACCCTGCAGAGGGACATCCCAAAGAACTCTAAACTGGTGATGATAATCTTTACAAAAAAAAACTGCTAATTGGGGCCATTCCTACATCTTTTTCCTTTAAAATATTTAATATTTGTTCAAGGTAATAAGCTTATTTTCATAAGACAGTAAATAATAATGTGCTTGTCAGCTGCTGTAACAAAATGCCACAGACTAGGAAGTGTTGACCACCGCAATTTATTTCTCAAGGCTCTGGAGTCTGAAAGTGTGATGTCAAGGGGCTTTCGGGGGCCATTTTCTTAGGGGTGCTTCTCTGACTTGCAGATGGCTGACTTGCAAGGATGTTCTCACTGGGCAGAGGGGACATTCTAGTGTCTTCAGACTCTTTGAAGACCACTAATGAGGGTTCCATCTTCATAATCTTGTCTAAACTTGATTACTTCCCAAAAGCCTCACCTCCAAATTCTACTGTACCCAGAAAAACAATTCTGTGTCAATTCTGTGTTTGAAGGGGGGAGGGGGAGACAGGTCCAGTCCCAAGCAACCTGTTCCTCTGATACAATGAGGACAGAGATGGTCTGCTACTCTCAGATGCAAGAAAGAACCTTTAGTTCCTTATATGTGTGTTCTCCGAGCAGAGAGAACCGACAAAGGTCAGTGTGCCTTTGAAAAGGCAGTAGCTTTGGGGACGATTAGGACTGGGGTTCTTGGTTCAGCTCTCAGCACCTACACGATGGTTCACAACCATCCATAAGCTCAGTTCCAGGGGAACTTCTGGCCTCCGTTTGCACCAAGCATACACATATATACATACAAGCAAAACACACAAGTAATAAAATGAATAAAGAAAATAGAAAATGTTTAAAGCACTGAGATTCCAGAATGCATCGGGAGGTGCACACCCTTAATCCCGGCACTCAGAGGTGGAAGCGGCAGATCTCAATCAAGGAACTAGAGGCCAACCTCGTCTATAAAGCAAGTTCCAGGTCACCAGTAAGGGCTACATAGTGAGACCCTAGTGCATAGGGGAGAGGTACTAAAGATCTAATATTACACAAAGCTGGGCCCGTGTCCAAATCATTATGACTTTAGGTAGCTTGACTCTCAAAGTCTCAATGGTCTTCGTAAAATCTGAATAACACACATTTACCTCTACAGACTGTCAATGCAGCCAAGTGAGGTGCTGGGCAAGTCTAGCAAAGGCATAAACTATGGGGTGCTCAGTAAGTGGCCACTTTAGCTATACCACCTTTTTATGGCTGGGAAGATGGGTCAGTTTCGTAAGCACGAGGGACCTAACATAGATCCATCCAAGAAGGGAGATGCAGGCCTATAACAACAATGGCTCACATGGGATGTGGAGGCAGATTAATCCCTGGAAGTTGGCAGGCTTAATAGCTGATTAGCCTGACTTCTTTGGCAAAATCTGGGCCAATAAGAGACATTATTGAAAAAAAATGGCAGAGAGCATCTGAGGGCCACCAGTTGAGATTATCCTCTGACCGCCACACAAGGACCTGCATACACCCACTCATACGTGCACAATCATTCACATAAACACACACAGGTATACACACATTGAGGATATACTACATATTTGAAGTTCTCACAAAGATCGGACAATAATTCCATGCAGCTGAGGAAGTCCCACGGGTGTACTGAGTTCTGCCCTAACTCGGAAAAGACGTTCCATTGCATCCATCTTGTGAGCTTCGCAGCAGCACTGGCAACATTTTGGGCGCCAGGAGAAACCGAGTGGCCAAGATGCCTGTCCCCATCCTTCTACTTTTCAATATTGTCCTCCCAGCTCCTCTGGTGGGGCCATGAATCCCCTCCCCCTTTTCACTCACTTGAGCTGCCTGCTCTTCATGGCCAGTCTTTGGAATTCAACCCCGAGATCCTGTCTCAAAGATACCAACTCCTCATCAGCTGGTACTCTTGGGTGTGGCGACATGATTTTTCCCCATGTAATTTGACCAGACTTCAAGAGTAGGAAACATAAGGCTGAGGTCCAAGACATTTAGAACCAGTTCTTTTCTTTATTGTTCCTCAGGGTCATGAGGGCCAGTGACCATCCTTCTAGAACCTACCATCGAAGACCAGAAGGGAGCTTTTTTTTTTATTATTTTTATTTTTTTGCTTGGATATTTTGCATCCTTGGCACAGCCAAGGTTCCACTTGAAGGAAAGAATGCCTTCCTCGTAGCTCCTGGCTTCCGCTCGCTTCTCATCCCCTCCACTATTGAAGTCAGGGCGATCTGACCTCATCTCCTGTCCCCACTGTTATTCACACCATGTGACTCACACACCAACTGCCTCAAACGTGTGTACATCAGATGGGAGCAGAGCTAAAGCCTAATCCCTGGCCGGTGGATGAAGAGGTGTTCAAAATGTCCACAAGAATCTGGATTCTGATGCCCTATCAGGCCCATGAAACAGCACCCTCCCATTTCCCTGACTTTCAGAACTTGTGCAGAAGTTCCAGGTCTCAGTACGTGTGCCCTCCTCATCACCAGGAAAAGCCCATCAACACCCTGTCACAAAAGATGATGGAAATAAGCAAGCTGTGGTAGCACATGCCTTTAAACCCCAGCCCTCGGGAGGCAGAGGCAGGAGGATCTCCAAGTTGGAGATCAGCCTAGTTCAGAGAGAATTCTAGGGTAGCAGGGGCTAGCTACATAGAGAGACTTTGTCTCAAAAAAACAGACAAACACATGGAAATGCTGGTAGCCCAACTCAGCCTGTGTCTTCAGGTTTCCTGTTTTTATTTTATTTTTTTTAAATATTTATTTATTATGTATACAATATTCTGTCTGTGTGTATACCTGCAGGCCAGAAGAGGGCATTACAGATGGTCATGAGCCACCATGTGGTTGCTGGGAATTGAACTCAAGACCTTTGGAAGAGCAGGCAATGCTCTTAACCTCTGAGCCATCTCTCCAGCCCAGGTTTCCTGTTTTTAGATCTCTGCCCACTGCCTAGCTGACCGCAGCAGGAAGAGCTGAGGGTCTCAGGGTGGTGGCTTTGGGAGGGAAATCTGGAGCAGCTGATCAGGGGTGGGGAAGATAGAGTATGAAGACCACCAGAGGCCACAATCAGAAACCCCTTTCTGAAAAGCCAAGTTGATCTCCATCCTATGAGCGTCCCTTCCCACTCCTAACAAACGATGGGGCCACTTTGGTGTGCAGTGGTCTTGAACTCCATCTCAGCTCAACTGAATCTTCTACTAAGAAGGTTCTGAATCCTTGCTGTCTTTCAAAGCGGCTGCCAGCATTTCCAGGGGTATCCGTTCATCGCTTCTGTCTGAGCTTGTAAGACCGGTATTACAATGCTCACTGCCTTGTTCCACCCACCACGGATGTCTGCTTTCCACCCAGCTTCCTTCCACTACCTGGGGAAAGAGAATTGTGGAAGGAAAGTGGGCTGAAAGCTCCCATCAACGGCTGCCCCTTTTAGCATTTGATTCAACAATCAAACCTTCATTTTCCACAAGAGCATTTACTGCTACTTTCTTGTCTAGAACAATATCTAATGTTTGTTACTTCATTAAGAACCTGCCTATACTTTACCGGAGGAAGGGAATTTGAGAGCCAGCTCCATCACTTGCCAGCTAGGTGGCTTTTCCACACGTTTTTCTCCTCTCCATCCCTCTGTTTTCTTATCTGGAAATAGAGGTGGTAAAGGTGTCTGTCTACTTTGCTCACTCCAACTGTTAAGTGCTGAAAGGCCTGTGAGTGGAGCTGAGCAGTACTGATTCATCCTTACTCAGAGTGGCCTTGGCCTTCATCATCATGATGGACTGCCCTGGGGTTTAATCCTCCAGCTACCATCCTTCTGTACGGTTGACAAGGTTAAGCTCTCAAAGTCCTAAGTGCCTGGGCCTGGCAAGCCTTAGTTAGCCTTCCTTTATCTGCTTCCCTCTCCCTGGATCACACTTCAAAAGTCTTCTGTGCTTATAGGATTTCCACTCTGTATTCCACACTAAAGACAGAGTTCTTCCTTACCAAATTTTTGTCCAGTTTAATGATCTTACGCCAACTTTATTTCTGGTCCCACCCCCGTCTTACCAATTAAACCTTGAATCTTGAGATATCTGTGAACTATGCCAGTGTCCCTTGTGTCTTCCTACCAAGGACACAGGCCTGCCCTCTTCAGCAGCAATCAGAAAAAAAAAATCAAATTCCTGTGACCCAATTTTTCAGATTGAGTTTTTATAGTACAGTGTGGATCACCACCTTCCTCTCCGTTCCCTGCAAGAGATCTTGTGCGGGAACTGGCCTAGAAAACCTGAACTTGGCCTCGGCTCAACGCCTTCTCTGACCCAGTTCGAACCCAGCAACTCAGGGAGAACACAGTCAGTCTTCCTGACCCTTTCCCTGTGTGAAAATATCCTAGGTCTCTTACTGCTTGTGCTGAATAAACCTGGGCTTCTTGGCACATTGCTCCGGCCATGTGGCAGAGTCATTTGTTGGCTCAGTTCCAGAGCGGGATGAGACTCAGTAGCTATGGGATGCCAGTCTCGGCCCCAGTATTCCAGATGGTTCTTGCCACCCCCAAGTGCGCCGGCAGAGCTACAGAACCTTTTGCCAAGGAAGGGAGCCTTGGCGAGGCCCTACAACAACACACAGTGAGGTCAGTTGGTCAGGTGCATACTTCAGATTCCTGGAACGCGTCCAGGCATTGTCTCCTCGCTGAGCTTCGGAGGGTGCCATTGCTCATTAATCATCATCACACAGCCTCCCTGCCAGAAGAACTAAGGACAAGCAGAGGCTGCAGACAGAGATCTGGGGACAGCTCCAGCAGGATCTATTATTAAAAGCCCGGTAGGTCCTGGCTCTTCCATCTTGAGTGTGTATAGAGACATGACCTCCAGCTAGCAAGTCATTGCTGCCTAGAGTCCCCAACCTCACCTGAGACCCCCCCAGATGTCACACCCTCACCACCAGCACTATCTAAAGATTCACGATAGAATAATTTGATAGAACAGGAAATGTCTCTGCCTCTAACCCAGTCCCGTTTCTGCTTCTTCCTCGCTCTTACGTATTTGGACTACCATCACAACCTGGGCTCACCGCAGAAGGAAGTCTGGATGGATCAAAAATTCCGTGGGGAAAATGAGCGTGATCTGACACGAAATAAAGCTCCGGGATCTAAGCATTTCCCAGGCTACTTCCTCAAGCACATTAAACGATTGTCAAGTCACTGACGGGCTACTTTGAACTGGGTCAAGCAGCCCTCAGTTTGGAGAAGTGAAAAAAGGAACTAGCATTGGACGAGAGAAAAAACTGGGAACCCTAAGGAATACACAAAGGCAAATTTAAACCTTCGAAATAAATACTTGGCCACCTTCAACAGTTTTATTTAGAGCCCAGACTGGGAAAACGGTTGGGTCAATAAAGGGCTTGCTGCTCAAATATGAAGACAACTTCTAAGAGTGGAGAAATTCAACTCAAAATTCTGTACTCACACCAAGGAAGGGACCTGTGCACCTCCCATTCCTGCATCCAGTGTTCTAGGAGAGGCAGAGGCCAGTGTGGTAAGTCTGGCAGGAAGAAGGCTCCTTTGACAGCACAGCCCTTGGGGCTGGTTCTCCTGAGTGATTCCCCTCCACTCCCCCTCAGGCAAGCTTCTCTTTGGAATAAAGGATGGGGCAGGGCTTCTCTCGGGTATCTGCTGCTGTAGATAAGTTTTTGATGACTCCCTTTCGGAGAGATACATTTCCTTTTTATGAGGAAGCCACACACCCCCTGCCCTAGCGGGAGGTGCCGATCTCCCACCCTTGGCAACAGTGGGAAGTGACTACGCCCACCCTTCCCCAGCCCTGGGGGATTCCAGCCATTGAAAGTTCTGAGCTGGAAAGATAAACATCACTGCTGATCCCCTCCTTCCCTCTTTGTTCCCCTTCGAAAACAGAAAAGGAACCGGGAAGGGAATCTGACTGCACGGAAATCCATCTGCGGGGTTGTTAAGGGAAACAGCCTGAAATGGTACTAGGGGCGGGGGACTCCTCCCTTCCTCCTCTCTGACACCCTCATCCACCCATTCAGCAAAGGAAAAAAAAAAAAAAGAAGTGTTGCTTCCTATTTCCCAAAGGAAGCTTCTGTATACTTGGCATCACAGTACCCCTTTTCTCTGTATCTCCAGTCCCAAACCTCCAAGTCACAAGTCCAAGATCACCAGGGAAGACCTGGTTTTCTGTTAACAGTTCTGTAGCCTGGTTATCTGGTTCCAAAAAGGGGAATCAACGCCACTAGCCCTGCCTGTCCCCCAGCTTTGTTCAATGCAAGCACAGGAGTCCTTAGTTGCCACCAAACACTTCTCGTCCTGTGGAACTCGACTCCCACTGCTCTTTCCCAAATGCAGAGGGTGAATTCTTGGTTCCCCTACCAGCCCCCTCTTCTGAACTGCGCTCCCTTGTCAGAGAACCTTTGCTATTGAAATCCTTCTCATCCTTCCTAGCCTCTCTCCAAGAAGCTGTCCCCATCCTGATGTGTCTTTGCAGAGTTCCCCTCTTTTCCCCTGGACTCCTCCACCCCTTTCTCTGTTGTATAATTAATCAATTTATTTTTATTTTGTATGTAGGGTTAAGTGTTTGGCTTGCTTGTCTGTCTGTGCACCATGGGAGTGCCTGCTGTCTGTGGCGGCCAGAAGGTATACTGGGACTGGAGTTACAGATGTCTGTCACCCACCACGTGGGAGCCGGGAACTGAATTCTGGTCCTCTGGAAGAGCTGCCAGTGCACTTAACTGCTCAGCCAGCTGTTCTCAACCCTTTGGGGTCTCTACCCCTTTTTCACAGGGGTCACACCTAAGACCATCAGAAAACAGGTATTTACACCATGATTCCTAACAGTAACAAAAATACTGTTATGAAAGTTATGAAATAACAAGAAAAATAATTTTAGGGCTAGGGGTCAGCACCACATAAGGAACTGAATTGAAGGGTCACAGCGTTAGGAAGGTTGAGCACCACTGAGCTAAGACGTCTTACCCACCCCCATTATCTGGTCTTTAGCACTGAAGTTCTTTACACACCAGCCTGAACCCTCAACAGACCAGCCATGAGTAATTCCCAGGCAGAACCATCCCCTCACTACACACCCAAGTGCCTGGCACTTATCCGGGGCTAAGGTTGTGGTAGGGATGGCAGTAAAGAGGAATAGCAATAGCTGGGTGTGGTGGTGTGCACCTTTAGCCCAGCATGCTAGAAGCAGAGGCAGGAGAATTCCTCTGAGTTCAAAGCCAGACTGGTCTACATAGTAAGTTCCAGAGTTCCAGGACAGCCAGAGGTACACAGTGAGATCCTGTCTCCAAAAAAAAAAAAAAAAAAAAAAAGAGGAGAGAGGAAAAAAAAAGAGGAAGAAGAGGAGACAGCAATTGTTCATCCATTCCAAGCATATGTGTTTGTATGCGTGGATTTGTTTGAAAAAAAAAAACTTTATACCTCACTATTTCCCAAAAGAGTTTAAGAAAACACCAAAAACCCAATGTAGCTAGGAGAATAATCCAGAGTGAAAACAGAACCGTGTGTCTCGAGGCACCTGAGGGGACTTGTTTACTACAGTGGAGTGCGGGATTTATCTCTGGCTTTCCCGGATGAAAGGAAAATGCACTGGCGCGTACACTTCTCATTGTACAACAGCTTTGGAATCGCACGGAAAAGAGAAATTTTTCCTGGCACTGTCTTCAAGGAGAAATTCATCAAGTTGGTCTTTATATAACAAACATGAGGTAATGCGAGAGAGGCATCTCCAGGCAGGCTTTACCACAGGGAAGCGACAGTCTTCAGAGGGACAGCCCTTTGTGTGTGCGGCGTAGGGGTGTGTGCCTGTTCGTGTGAGAGTGTGACGTGTGGGTGTGTACCTGTTCATGTGTGAGTGGTGTGTATGATGTCCGTGCATGTCCGTGTGTGAATGGAATGTGCACACCCGGTACATACACAGAGCAGAGGACCACACTGGATGCTGTCTTCACCTTATCTGAGATGGTGTCTCTGTTGGTCACCACGGCTTCCCAGGATCCCCCATGTCTGCATCCCATCTCCCTACAGGGTCACGGGGATTACAGGCTGGCACTACCTACTGTGGGATCTGAAGATTGGAGTTCCAATCTTTATGCTCACATGGCAAGTGTTGTACCCACTAGGTCATCCCTCCCCTGCCCTCACTGTGCTCCTCCTTACTTTTTGAGACAGGTTCTCTCACCAAGCCTAGAACTCAGCCTTTCAAGCTGGAGTGGGTGGCCACCTTGGGAATCCTCCTGTCTGTTTTCTCAGCGCTAGGATTACAAACGCTTGTCACACACCCGACTTTATATAGGTCCTGGGGACAAGACAGTCCCTCACACAGTGCACTGCCCACTGAGCCATTTCTCCACCCCCCAATTTTTGTTTTAATTCATCCCAATAAGCAAGACTCCTCCTCGGCAGCTGTTGCGTATCCAGCACTGTTGTCACTTTGTCCCCAATGCTACTGAGGGCATCTGCAGCAGCGAGCAGGGCAGGTGTGTCCCCGTCACAGCAGAACCAGCAGAGAGCCAAGGCGACACAGGCCCAGGATGAAATGGCCGCTCAGAAGACACTTGCAAACCCATGGCCAAGTAGAAAGGAAAGACCCAAACCACATACTCACTGAGTGCCACCCTCTGCTCCAAGCCTATAGATGGCTGATCACTTAGGTGGAACCCCAGGAAGGAGCAGCACCCCCCCCCTCCAGGAAATGAGACCCGCTCCTCAAGCCTGGTCGAAGGCCAAACTAGAAAGTCTTTTGCAAGGGGCCAGAGAAATGACTTCAGACAGTTCAACCACCTGTTAACTCTAGCTCCAGGGGATCCAACTTTGACCTCTATGAACAAGGATGGACACACACACACACCCCCACACACACACACATACACACACACACACAGAGAGGGGAGGGAGGGAGGGAGGGAGGGAAAGAGAGAGAGACCCGTATACATTTTTTTAAAAAAATCTTTTGCAAGTATGTTCAGCTCACCCTAGAATCCTCCCACCTTCCTGCCTGCCTCTGAAGGGCTCGCCTCGATTCCACCTCATTTCCTCTGCTCTCACTCTCGGGGTGGTGTCGACAAAGACCTGAGGTGTGCCCAGGCCCAGGGAAGGAAATCACTCAAGGCCACAGTCAATCTGCAGCCAGGCTAAGTTTTTCAAGGCCAGCCCAGCTCTGCTCCCAGCTTCCCCACAAAAGCCTCCTACACTCTATGCTAAACTAAAAAACAAGGTCCTAATCCAGCCCCTAGTTGAAGGAGGTTTGCTCTTTGTTTCAAAGGCTGGACCTGCTTGTCTTTGTGGAACTCACTGGGTACTAAACTCTTTTACTGCTTTTTCCTTTCTTCCTCCCCCTAACCACTCCCCCCAGCCCCCTTCCTTTCACTTTCTGTCTCTTTGTCTGAAGAGTCAGGGTCTCCAGGAAACTCAACTCTGTTTCTGCTTTCTTTCTCCAGGCCCCCAGCTCATCTGGTCCTCACGACGCTATAATTACCGGCACATTTGTACCGTGCAGGGTGGAGGGAGATGCATTAGTTCACTGAGGGGCTGGGAGAGGAATGGCCTTGATCTGGGCTGCAGTCTGGTTCTAATTTTAGCAGCCACAGAGCAGTGGACTTCCTGGAGGAATCAGATTGCTGGGTTCTCCCCAGCAGGGCTGACACCAGACATGTGGAAGAGATTCGCATCACAGAATTGCCAAAGCAGGTTACACCTCCGGGTCACCAGGCCCAGGCTGTGTCTCAGAAAGTAGGAACGGGCTGTCTGAGCTTAGCAAGAGCCTTGTAAAACTTGCTTAGTTTATGCACAAAAGAGAGGGAAATGAAACCACCCACCAGGAAAGGCCAGCAGAGCTGGCTCAAGAATCCATCCTCTTCCTCCTGCCTCACGCGGTCCTGATGGTGTCATTCCCTAAGCACCGTGGGTGGGCAACCCTGAGAAGGGTCTGTAATAGGCGCTGGGTGAGTCCTGAGCGTCCCTGAGTATTTTAAGTAACTTTACCTAACTATTTTTTTCAATGAGGTCAAATTGCTGGACAGTGAAAGGTACAGATCTCAGCTATGTAACAATGGATTTGACGAATCACACACCCTCAACCAAAGAGAACACGTGGGTCACCTCGGGGTGATCCAGTTAGTCTCCAGCCTTTGCCACAGGCAATTCTCAGTTCCAGGTTTTCTGCAGTGCACTAGTGCTGACAGCTCAAGGAAAAGGACTCACCGTGTCTGGGTGACAGACAGAAGGCGAAGTGAACCCCTGGCGGGTCCTTCTTCCCAGGTTCTCTCGGTTCACTTGTGCCGGGCTGCGTGTGTAAGAATAGCTCAGTGTCTATTCCCTAAGTCCCCAATGTGGGGAACTCCAAACAAGCCTTCGGGATAGAGGCTTCATGAAATTGGGATTTTTTTACTCCCACCTGGGAAACGCTGTTTAAAGTTTGGCTTCGCTA